AGCCAGACCGGTGCCCGGGGGGGACACCAACTTGGTAAGTTGTTGCCTGGGTGCTTGCCTAGTTGTCACGAGGTGCCACGTGTCGCAATTTCACTAGAGGGCCAAATCTGCCCTCATCAATTGGTTTCCTCAATACTTGAAGTGACAGGACCCAAAAATCTAACAAATAGATAAACACAACTAATTTATGCATAGAAAACCTGCAAAGCAATAGTCAATATGATCATCTATGTATGGGCCATAGAATAAGCTGATTTGGAACTAATGCCAATATGATTTTGACTCCTGTAGTAAAAAATTCAGATTCCCTGATGACGAAAGTAGTCAAGGTAATCCAGGACTGTCTGGCATAGGAGTAGTCAAGGTAATCCAGGACTTTCTGGCATAGGTGGGCTGTATGGGTGTTTCAGTGTGAATCCAGTAGTTGGTGAATTCCTATGTTTATGGTGTGTATTCGGGTAGTTTTGTGGTGCTGAGAGTGAAGAATATCAGTAACTGTTATTGCTGAAAAACTGTGACAATAGGTGTCTTCAGCAATAATTTGTCACTAGTGTGTAGTGTGGTGAAAAGTAAATTAGGCGTGTGATATACAGGTGAGAAAAAGAAAAGAATTGAGAAAGAAAAAAAATTCAGATATGGGAGACAGTAGTGAACACAAGGCTAGTGTTATGGTCGCCCCCGATTACCTGAATGTTCAGAGATTTCTATCAAATTGAATGGGGAGAATTATTTGCCTTAGGCAAAATCTGTAGAGGTCTTTCTTAGGCCTAAGAAGAAAGTGAAGCATGTAAGAGAAGAAAAAACCTTTTGCTGATTCTTAGGAATATAGTATTGGGAACAAGAAGATGCACAGATTATGACCTGGTTATGGAATAGCATGGAACCCAAGATCAATGTGAATTTTATGTTCTTAGATACAACCAAGGAGATTTGGGACCATGCCAAAAAGTTGTACTCTGGACAAGACAATACTACTAGAGTGTATTAGCTTTATCAGGAGTACTATAATCTACAACTGGGTAATCAGAGTCTTGAGGAAATACTATGCTAGCATGAGGAATCTTCATAATGAGTTGAATGTGTACCACCCCCTCACTTTTGATGTTAAGATTCAGCAATAACAGAGAGAGCAGCTCGATGTAACTAGATTTTTAGTAGGGCTGAAATTTGAATATGAACCAGTGAGGGCACAAATACTAGGTGGGTCAACTCTTCTTTCTCTAGAAGAGGTATTTGTTCGACTTCGGAGGATTTTTGTTGGACCTACAGAGAACTCTAATATCCCTGATAGGTCTGCCTTTGTAGTGACAAGAGGGGGGATCGTGGATTTAGAGGTGGAGCTCGGGGAGTTCAGCCCGGTCGTAGTGGTGGTGGTGGACGTATTGGAGGTCGAGATTCAGGGGAGCTCGTGGTAGAGGATGTAGTAATGGTTCGAGGAGGTGTACACATTATGGTATGGAAGGGCATACCATCAACTTTTGTTGTGATTTGCATGGCCCACCTTCAACTTGGGTAAATCATGTAGTGGCTAGTGATGTTAGTTCAAGATAGGATATTTAACAAGCTGATCAGATGCCTTCTACATTTATGGAGGTCTTCGGGAAGGAGATGAAGAGTGTCCCATGTGATGAGTATGAGTGGTTTATCCAAGTCATGTCTCAACATAGTACAACTACCCTCGCACATTCATGTATGGCTTGTCTGGCATCCAAACCCTTCCATTGGATTATTGACTCTTGATAATGGTTCCACATCTCCTATTTGTGGTGTTGGTAATGTTGACATAGACCCTTTATCCCTGTTCTCAGTTTTGTATGTTTCCAAGTTTCCTTTTAATCTCATGTCTATTAGTAAGATGACCAAATCTCTTAATTGCTCTATCACCTTTCACCCTTTTTCTTGTGTTTTTTTAGGATCACAAGACGGGGATGAAGATTGGTGGAGGACATGAAACTGGTGGACTTTACACTTGGTCATCCATGCTTAAAGCACTTAAAGTCACTTGTTCTGTCGTTGAGTCGTCTTTTTGTTTTGGATTGTGAGTTGTGTTAGGTTGGGGAAACATCATCGTGTTCCCTTTAGTCCTAGGGTATAATCGTATGTCGAGGAGTCCTTTTTCTTTAGTTCATTCAGATATTTGGGATCCAAATAAAATAGTGTCATACAATGGATACAAATACTTTGTTATTTTTGTTGATGATTATTCAAGGATGACATGACTTTATCTTATGAAAG